GTCTTCATCAGCCGGACTCCCTGGGTTCAGGTGTTCCATGCAGGGCTTATGTTTTCTTGTGTGTGACCAGTGGGAGATAATCCATGGGATGGCACATTCATGGGTAATGCACAGAACCCATGTCTCTGTGCATAGTCCAAGTTCCTAAAAAAAAGCTAAAAAAACCCTCTAGGTGGGCTGCTACTACACGACTGAGACCTCAGATAGTGCAATCAAACCTCAGTCTCTTGGAGCTGCTGCGGTGCACGGGCCAGGTCACCAGGTCTCTGTGCCTCTGCTGTGTCACTGTGAAGGGGCGCTTAAAAACACCCCAAAACTTTCCACTCTGTTTGGGAAATGACACTGTCGTGCTGGAATTTACAATGAAGTTGTGAATGCAGCTGAAGCCTGGGGCTTCTCCAGGAGAAGGCCCCTTTGGCCAGCTATATTCAGCTCTAATGAGAGGGCTGAATTCTCCCTCAAAGCCATGTTTTCCATTTGGCCCCTTTTCCCTCATCAATCGCTGTCACTTCAGACAGAGGCCCCGCATGCAGCTTCCCTTGGGCCTGTGTGCCGTGTGGGGGCCGCTGGGGAGGACAGCCTGCCCTACTAAACTGCATCTCTGAGCCCTGAACAATAGCGCTTTGTGTGAGTGCACAGTGCAGGCTCAGTTTCCCAGGCTTTCCCTTTTCTCCTCTCCCCTCTCCTGCTGGAAGCCCCCAGCGAGGCGGGAGCGGGCAGGGGCTGCTGCCACCAAACAAAGGGCGCGGGCGGCCCCTCCGCGGGCAGGGGCTGCTGCCACCAAACAAAGGGCGCGGGCGGCCCCTCCACCCGCGCCTGGCTCCAGCTGCAGGTACTGCATCATTTGCCTCCAGTACAACAGACCCGAGTCATTTCAGCAAAAATGCCAACCAGGGTGCAAGGAGGGCTCCAGCCTCCACAGGCAGGCAGGGCCCTCACTGCAGCCCTGGGGACACAACGATGGCACCTGGGGTGGCTTTGGTGAGGGACGTGCTGTGGTGCCCATGCTGTCTGCTCTGGTGACCTGTGGTGCCCATGCCATTTGCTCTGGTGACCTGCTGTGTGCCAGGTGCCCCAGTCACCTGACAGCTTGCTGCCAGAAGCCTCCCTGGCTGCAGGTAGTGCCAGGACAGATGGAGATGCTGGAGTGAGGAAGAACAGGGTGAAGTTTAAAAAAATCAAACTAGACCAAATCTCTAGGTCAGTGGTGCTTGTTTACAGGGGCAGGACTGCAGGGACACCCAGCCCACACACAGGGGGATGCTCCTTTGCATCAACAGACAGGAGAGTACCCCAGAAAGGAGCAGGAATTCTAACTCCACTTACAGACATGGAAACAGGGATGTGGCCAAGATCTCGGTGTCCCAGATCAGCCCCCATTCTTGTCCCAGTGGGCCCCATGCCCACCCACATGCTCCTCCTGCCCTTTGCTGCTGCCAAGCGGAGCAGAGTGCTGCTGGGAACACTGGGCAGGAACGGAGGGATGTCCCTCAGTTCCCTGCATTGCTGCCAAATTCAGTCAAGCACCATGTCAGGTGGACTGCTGTGACATGCAGGGACCCTGTTTGGGTGCAGGGATGTTCAGGACCATTGTGGCCAGGCTGGGGGTGCTACTCCCACTGGGCAGTGAAGGGGCCCTTCCATAGGGCAGACAGGGAAAGCTCCCATGGCTGCCCTCCAACCTGCTCCTGCACTTAGGAGTTCTGGATCCCAAAGTGCCTAAAAATGCTGTTAGTGGGTTTCACATTCCAGATGGAGAAATGGAGATCATGTGTGACTAAATTGGGAACAGTAAACAGCAGGGACCCAAGTGTCAGAAAACACTGACAGCCCAACAGCCACCAATGTGGGAGCTCTCCCTTGGCTTCAGTGTGACCCACTGCCCGTGGCTTTGCTCTGCCCTGTGCAGTGGCCCCGAGGCTGCTGGTGTCACTACCCTGGAGCTGCTGTCTTCTGCTGTCCCATGCAGCTACTGTGAGCTGTTGTGCCGTCAGCACTGTCTGGAAAGGCAATGGTAGGGAAAACTGTCTCTTATTTATAGCTGCATTGTCACAGGCAGTGCTGATCTGCAGGATGCAGAGCCCCCGGTGATGGAAATGGATCGAGGAATAGGAGCATCTTGCATGTGATAAAAACAGGCTCAGTCCTACAGAAGAACATTGCCACCATATGACCTGCAGGGAGGAGCAGAAAACACTGCTGTGTGTGTGACGTGTAATACCTGCAGGCTCTGGCCTTGTGTCCAGAGTCATTGATACTGTGGGATGCCATTGACTGGTCAGAAACAGTAATTCAGGGAGGATAAAGAGATGTTGTTAAAAGAGCAGCAAGCTCCTCCTCTTGTGCAAGTTCTTTTTTGGTCTGTTGCTACAGCAACTCTCTACCAAGAACAAAGATGACAGCAAGATATTAAATTTTGCAGCAACTCAATTGACTCCTGATTTCCCTTCTTTTTTGCCTTCAGTAACTGAATCCTGCTGCATTAATTGTCTTAGATTTCAGATGGAAATCGTGCCTTCCTTTGACAAGAATTCCTGTGTTGCTCTTTCCTCCTTCCCCTCAGAAACCAATTAAATCAAATTAACTTATTTAAATCCAGTGGGTGATTATAAACACTGGATTTCTTGGCTTTATTTCTTCTGCATGTGGACATCATATGTTTTAAGCCACGACTCATATTCTGTACCAAAATCCCCAAAGCCTTGATATTCTTTAAAAAGAAACAAACAGTTCTTGGCAAGTACGATTTCGGCAAAGTTCAACGTATGCCGGTGGCACAGCACAGAAACATAAAATCTGAGTAACTGGAACAGAGATCGTCTGGATTTAGGAATGTTAAAATTGCTTTTAAAGCACTGCTGCATTTCAGTTCTTTCCCCCTATACCCCCCAGTCTATGTTTCTTGTGGGGCAGACCCTAAGGAGGCCACAGACCTGCATCTCTGGGATCACGTCTGCACACGCAGATGCCCTGGGTTCGGTGGGACAGAGCCTGACATGGACCCGCCTCAGTGTGGGGACTGTCTCCTTCAGAGCCCTGGCCCTTGGCTCCCAAGGTCCAGAGCTCCTGCGTGGGGATGGTCACAGCCCCGAGCCTTTGGAGCAAGTGCTCTGTCACTGTGTCCGACTGTCACCTGTGTGTGCCTCGTGCGACAAGGCTGCTCCGGAAGGGCTAACGGGGACAGCGCTGTGGGGAACGGGGCGAGGGGAAGAGAGGCCACTTGAGTTTGTCTGAGACGACACAAAACATGGACTGCTACTAGCACTGGGATGGACTCCTGGCAGCAGGTAACCACGGGAGCACAGCATCATCCCACATGAGCAAAGCGGATCAAGTCACAGCCAGACTGCAAATGCAACTGCACCAGATGACAGGGGTTTGTACCGAACCCTGGAGAGAGCTGTGCTGTGCTGTGAGAGATGAGACAGTGGGACCATGCTGGGTGGTGGAGCTGCGGCTCCTGGGAGTGCAGTGTGGGGAATCCTCACCCCTGAGGAGAAGAGAATAGGGGAAAATGGGAGAAGATAGAGGCAGAGGCAATGACATTTGGAGAAAGGGAGGTGACTGATGCACATGAAATATCACATATTTAGCTTTACTCTGAATTAGTGGGAGTATAACTAACGGTTTGGCTTTGACAGCTTCAGCTTCAGCAAGATGTGTGCAGGAGGGACAGGCTCAAGAAGAGTCTGAGCCAACGTGGGTTTAGTACAAGATCAAAGCCAAGGCAGGAGCCCAACAGAGTTAACCAGAAGCATGGGTCCTGTCACTTTTCCCCAAGAGTTGTTGTGCAAAAGCACTTCTTTGGGGGCTTTAGTCCAGGGCAAAGGACTCCAACCCATCCTGTGGGCAGAACTTAAACAGCTGCTTGGATTTCAGATGCACACATTGGATATTAACATAAAAATGCCAGCATTGTGCAGGGATGTCCTTCCTAAAGAGCCTGGGTGTGGGCACAGGGTGCCTGTTTCCCAGAGCAGTGGCTGAGCAGGCACCAGCAGAAGCTGCTGGTCACAGCAGGAAAAAGAAAGCACAGCTTTGCCCACAGGGTCTGGGCAACCTCCCCAAGGAAACAGAGGTAACAGATCTCTAGCAGGAAACTGCTCACAAGAGCCCTTTCACCACTGATAACGTCTGTGGTGCAACTGTGGCCTCATGCAGTGACAGCAGGTTCTGAGTAGCTTCTGACTCCAGTGCCTTTTACAGGAGAATTAGAGCTGCAGGGAATTATTGCTGTTGCCAAGTTGTTGATCATAATTCCTTGTGCTTTTAGTCACAAATAAATATTCCCATTTCTTACAGTGACTTGAATTATTGACCAGTGTAATGCTGAATTCTACTGGTATGACAAAGGCTTAAAATGGTAACAGTGGAAAAGGCAGAGATCGAGGTGGGCACATATTTAGAGTGCTCTGCTTCTTCTCTGAATATTCATGGCTGCAAGGACCCTACACTCATACTTTTGGGAGATACCCTTCTACTTACAACTGACCTGTTGGAAACCCATATAAAGTAAAAATAAAAAGCAAACTTCTGGGATGCTTTACCTGAAAAGAAACATGTGTCTGCATACAGAAATCAAGACTTGTCTTCGGCTGCAGTTATTTTGGGTGCAAAGGCAGGTCAGTGCCAAGTTATGATGGCACTTCACTACACAGATAAAAAAGGGAACAGAGGGAGAACTAGTTGTTTTGTTAATATGACAAGATAACAGCACTTTGGCGCAGGAAAGGATGTAAGGTTCAGAAAAAACAAAGGTGCTGTGGTGCTGCACAAACAATTTCTATGTTACATGTCTTCAACCGTTTTTTTCTTACACTGGTAAATGTGTGTATGGAAGTCTTTCCCCAGCAGTCTGGCTGTATTAGAGCTGTGCCATTCCTGCAGAGCAGCCAGCCAGCAGGGCTGGGCTCACAGAGATTTTATTCCCCAGATGACCCTGCTACAGCTGAGCACTTTCTCTGTTGGCACTTTCTCCCACTCTGGCTGGTTTGCTGCAGGTCCCACGAGCCCAAGGCAGAGCCCACATCTCCTGGCGACCCCCAAGTCTGGACTGGAAGAGTTGGTCTCACCAAGTAGGGATCTACAGCAGCTTCCCAGAGAGGCTGCAAAGGATTCAGCAATGTCATGGTTGTCCCCATTCCCCAACTCCATCGACCCAAGGTATGGCACAGGGGATTCTGCCTTTCAGAGACCTCAGGAGGGCAGAAAGACCAAGGAGAATTGGGGTCATGTCACATGAGCTGCCTTACTCTCTGGGCTGGGTAACTGGTGCCAGTGCTGCAGCCGTGGCACTGGCATGAGGTTGTGAAGGGTTTCAACACACGGCTCAGTGTCCATATCAGCTGTGGCTTGGTGAGGCCTCCAGCCTGGCTCCAGCCTGGCTCCAGCCTTCCCTTGCAAAGCTCCACTGGTGTGAGAGGGTATATGATGGATATCCCATCCCTGGGAGTGTCCAACGCCAAGTTGGATGGGGCTTGGAGCAACCTGGTCTAGTAGAGGGTGTCCCTGCCCGTGGCGAGGGGTTGGAATGAGATGAGCTTCAAGGTCCCTTCCAACCCAAACCAGTCTGTGAATCCATGACCAGAGGGTCTGCCTGACTCATGGCAATGTACACAAGTGACTCTCTGGAAGCAGCATTTGTGTACCCTGCTGAGGCCGCTGTGTGTATGTTCAGCACATCATGAAACACAGTCTGAAGCTGGAAACAAAGAGTGCAAGACAGCTTCTGCCTAAAGAATTTTCCTTAATTTAGGAATTGCTTTAAGCCAACATTACCTCTGCTTCCTGAGCACACACAAGGCTACTGCCCTGGAAATAATCTGGATTAGCCTTACTGGAGTGACCACGTTGCCATAGTTACTGTTGGTTTCTCTATACCTCAAGCTTGAAGTGTTTATTATGATTAAATCCCATCCCATCCCATTCTTCATTTAAAAATTCTGTGTTGGAAGTGTCACAAAGTGAATTAGAATGTAATCCTTCCTTTTAAGAAGCTGTTTTAAGTTGAAATTCCACAAATGATCCTAGATGTTGGTATTTATTAAAAATCATTAATTTGTGATTGGATTATTTTTCTTCAGCCATCGCTGCTTCTTTATTCTTCCTGGTATCTGAGTGACAAAAAAACCCTGACGCTGCTGGATCATTTCATGACTGTTTGAGTTTTTTCTTTCACCACTGTATTGTGGACCACCCTGGTAAAAGATATGCAACACTCTTAGACTCTTGGCTTTGACCTTAGAGGAAGCCTCATACATTTGAACCAATCTGGCAAGAAATTAAAATCTGTCCTGTGGCACAGGTTGTTTTAGGAAATGTTGGTCTTTGCTCTCCAAATCCCTGTGGGTGTTAAAAGGTGAAGTGACTGCCGCTGGAATGAATCCATTATAAAATGGCCCATGCTTCTCTTTTCCTGTTTGTTTGGGGTTTTTCTGTGGAGAGCGAGCTCTGAACTGTAAGGTCCCCTCAGAGTGGTACTGGCTTTGAAGGAACATGACATCATGTTCCTGTTCTGTAAAAAATGTGTGTTATTTTTCTCTTTTCCTTTACCACATCTGTTAACAGCTTAATAGAGCTCTGATCTCTCTTCCATTTCCCCATGTCAGCTGTTATGTTGCCCACCATCAAAAATTCCTCACCCAACCTAAGCAATATTTAGGAGATAAGTTCATCTCCCAGCCACCTCCCTGCACACAGCATTTTGGCTTGCTCTTTCTGCCTTCTGCATCATCCATCTAACCAATAACGAGCTGTACTGCCAGCAGGCTCTGTCACCCCATCCTGCCGTTCTCAGTGCTGTGAAACTGCCCAGACCAAGGTAAATTGTGTTTCAAAGATGTTTTGACACAAAATCTTTAGCGTATTGGTGAGTGACACAACCCAAAGCAGTGAGAGCGGACGGCCAGCCTGCTGCCTGCCCTGCTGAGGGTTTACACAGCCTTGGGCACAGAGTGGACACAGCTTCCTGGCTTCCCCATCCCAGATCAATGGCTTTTCCTCCATCACTCCTTTCCATTATCTCAGTTCAGCAATTGCTGTTTGTGCCCCCAGACCTCCCAGCTCTCTCAGCTGACGTGTCAACACTCCTTCACTGATGTCCTTGCCAAGACCAGGGAAGCAGCTCCTGCGCCCAGGTCCCTCTTGCACCCTTCCAGCTCACCCCAGGATTGCTCATGGCCTCTTTCTGTCCCCATTTCTCTCCTCCTGCCTCTTTTGTGCTGGCTGCATCCAGCCCTCCGCTGTCAGGTCTTCTATTCTTGTTCAGCCTCCCCACTTGGCTCCCTCGTTCCCCTGTGCCCGGCTGTCAGATCGGGGGTTCACAGAGCCCCACTGCTCCCCCGGCTGTGCCCAGGCTGCCCTGCTCCCCCCAGCTCTCTCCTCCACTTCTGCAGCTGCCAGGTCAGGAGCCTGACAGCTCTGTGGGTTGGCACACCAGCACAAGGAGAATCCCACAGGGCAGCTCCACTGGATTGCTGTTGTGTGTCCGTGTCACTTCAGGCCCTGCCAGCTGCTGGCCCTGCCTGTTCACCCCCAGAGGGGTTTGTCCCCTAAATGCTGGAGCTGGAGCATCGTGTTTTCCTATGTCCCCCACGGTGCACAACTGGCCATAGGGACCAGCATGCGCTCTCCAGCTGCTTCTGCCCCGCCACAAAACTCTGCACCACGCTCATGGCCATTGTCACTGTGCTCTCCCTGCCCTGTGGTCCCTGTGCTCTGCTTCTCCCTGTGACAGTGGGGGTCTGGCACAGCTCGTGCCCTCCCTGGGGCCCTCCCGGAGCAGGAGTGACCCTGCTCAGCCCTGACCCCGGGCCTCGTGCTCCGCAGTGGCTGTGCTTCCCTGGAAGTGATTGCTTTGTCTCCCTCCTCCCCGGGCCTTTCCCGGACGCTGGGATGCAGAATGCTCCTCTGTGCCGCCTGCTCGCACTAGGTAAATTATTTGTGTAATGGGCTGGGGTTATTTTTTGTAAGCTGGCAGAGTAACTGTGAATCATCAAATCTCCCTGAATTCAGTCCTCACAGGACACCCACAAAAGGACCTATTGTGCAGAGCAGTGGTGGGAGCGTGGCTGGAAATGGACAGAGGAGCCACTCAGTGGACTGTGGATCTGCAGAAGCCGAGTCTGCAGCATGGCTGGTGTATGGGCTCGGATGAGCCATTGGAAACGCTGCTGGCGAGTGTGTGGGGTTTCATGGCACCGGGTCCCAACTGCTCAGCCAAGGCCCCTGGAAAAGAGTCTTAAGCACTGTTGCTGCTTCTGCTGGAACGAACGCTTTATCCTTTTTTTCCTCATTTTAACAAAAGGTGACAAATCTGCCCCAGTGCAGTCCCGCTGGCCCGGCGGCGTCCGGATGGGGCCGGAGCCTTGGGCTGAGGAGGGGCTGCTCCGGGAGCGGGGACACGCGGGGACAAGCGACAGACGCCGCCCGCGGGGTGGAAACCGGGGCGATCGGCATTCGCACCTACGGCGGGCCGCTCGGCGCGGGTCCGGCCGGGGCGGGTACGGGTCGGGGCGGGTCGGGGGTCCGGGTCCGGCGGTCCGGGTCCGGAGGTCCGGGTCCGGGGTCCGAGTTCCGGGTCCGGCCGCGCTCGCAGCCCGGCGGGGCGGGGCCGGGGCCGGCGTGGCCGGGCGGGGCCGGGGCGGGGCCGGGCCCCGGGACGCCCGCCCCGCGGCGAACCTGAGCGCGGGAGCGGCGCCAGGGCCCCGCCTCGGCCGGCGGCAGGGAGCGGCTGCGCCTTCGGCTCGGCTCGGCTCGGCTCGGCTCGCCCTGCCCGGCTCAGCTCAGCCCTGCCCGGCGCTGCTCGCTCAGTCGGCTCCGCGGCTCCGCTCCTGCTCCCGGTCACGCGCCGGCTCCCCGCGCTCCCCGCGGTGCGGGCGGTGCGGGCCGGTGCGGGCGGTGCGCGGTGTCCACGGCGCCGCAAGGACGGTGGGCCGGGCGGCGCGGGGCCGCGGGCCGGGTGAGGCGCGGTGGAGCGCGGCGGGCGCGTGGTCCCGGCGGGACCGCGCCCTCCCGCCACGTGTCGGCGCAGGGCAAGTTTCAAGAAGGACAAAGAGATCATCGCGACTACGAGGCGCAGGCAAAGGTGACGTAGCGGGGGGCCGGTGCGGGCGCCGGCGGGCCGCCTTTGTGTGCGGGGCGGGCGGGGACGGCGCGGCTCCGGCCGCGGGGGCTGTGCGCCGACCCCGCCTCCCGCGCTGCCGCACCGCCGGCCGCGGGAGCCCGGCCCTGCCTGCCGGCGCGCGGGGGCGGCGGTGCCATCGCCGTGCGGGCACTTGGCCCGTGCGGGGATGGCAAGCGATCGTTCAGCCCCCGAAGCCGCGCTGGCCGGGCCGCCCTGCCGCTGGAGCGTTCGGGCAGCGCCCCGCGCCCACCCGGCAGCGCCCGCCCCGGGACGAGCGGCACCGGAGCTCGGAGGCAGCCCCGGGCCTGTGCGGTGTCGGGAGCGCTGCCCGCGGCCTCCCGGCGAGCAGCGCATCGATCCTGCGGTCCTTATGTAAGGAACTTCGCCTTCGTGCTCCGGCCCCGCGCCTCCAGGCCCGCAGTCATTATTATGCAAGTGCCGGTACTGGTGCGGGGTGCGGAGCTGTGCGGCAGCCGCTGCCTTCCTGAGAGTTGGAGAGGAATAAAATGAGAGGTTGTGTCTGTTGAGACCACCAAGCATCAAATCCCAGGCTCCAAGTTAATTGTTGTTACGAAAGAAAGTTGGTACCCTGTGACACATGGCAGCTCTTCAGCCCAGGGAAGGGCTAAGCTGGTTGGAGGCAGAGGGAAATGAGCCGGTGTAACCTGCTCTCTATTGCACACCCAGGAATTTTAAGTGTCCGTAACAAACTGTATTAACGGATATTTTTGGATAACTTCAGTTTATCAATCTACTCACTGTTGCAACGATTGCCAGTTCTGTTAGCTGATGACAATTCCTTTTCCCACCTTCAGCTGGAGGATACTCAGCTGCTTCCCTCACGCCTTTTCCTTGTGTGTCCCCTTTCAGTCCCCCTGCTATTATATAAAACTGTCTCTGCTCTCCCTTTGCTCAGTTGTTTTATATGGATATGTGTTCACCACTTTGTTATGTTTAAGTCTGAGTTA